CTATTTTTAATTAAGAAAGGACTTGTATCGCTGAAGTTTCTCGGAAAGACTTTTTACGGGAAATTATCAAATAAGCAGATACGTTACAGTATATTTAAGTTGACAGTCTTGGCTGTATATTTAGTGATTGACATTACCTTGAATAGACAATTATTTTCTGTCACAGGTTCTAAAATAAAATGCTTACAAAAGATACAAAATAACTAAATGGATTCAAAACTTTGATTTTTTTCAATTCATATGCATTGAGACATCTTATGTGATAGATTGAATTGTCTTTAATAAATGATAAGTGTCTAGGTAAATTTAAGCCTAAAAGTAAGATATTCATGTAACTATCCCGGTAGAAGGTTAATTATTTCTTCACAAATTATTTCTTTACTGCAGGTTAGGACTAAAGGCTCATTCACCAAAATGACCACTACTGTGACTTGGAAAAGTTTATTACATGTTAGAACTAAAGACTTTTTCACCAAATCAACTACTATTGTGAATTGGGAAATCTTATTGCATGTTACAACTAAAGGCTCAATCACCAAATCAATCACTACTGTGAATACTTCTGAGAATCGATGCATGAGAACATTAATCTTGAGAATAATGACAAACAATTTTAGGATGATGATCAACAACCCTAAATACACACACTTAAAAGGCTCTAGTAATAAGTGCGAATTGTTTTGATTTCCAATAATAAAATTCTAAGAGGGATTGCCTTTGCTATTTAAGTAAATATAAGTCATCATTGTCACCATCCAGTTTTGAATGTTTGATAGACAAATGAGACATAAAATGTCAACTGAAACAAAGTAACCTTTACTAAAACGTTTTAAATGACATGACATTATCATAAACTTGGCAATAGATGTGGCATAATTATAGCATAAAGATTTGTAATTATGAGAAATTGAAAAACAACTTCATGGCACTAATTTTACAATCCTATTAACACTGATTCCACTACACAGTTCAATTTCAAAATTCACACTGGTAACTTAGCCCTTGATGCTACTAGCTTAACTGTTACTCTGGAATTTTACTTGCTTCTTAAAATACATCCTTAGAAAATCTAGGATGCCCCATTATTTCAGTTTGTAACTGCCCCAGTGAGAAGATTTTATCTTTCATAAATGATATTATTAAACGCATTGTTCTACCTCTTCCTACTTACATAAAAGTCAGAACAAACACTGAAAAGTTTTAACAACTTTTAGTTTTATGGTAGTGACTATTATAAATTTACAGTGGACATTAAGTTCACTACAATATAGGTTCTAGTGCACCAAGTCATCCATTTCATGGTTGCTAATGGAAATAGTGTGAGCTTGGATCTATAGAACATATTACCTGAAAATAAGCCAGCTTGTACTGCACTGGGACCTATTCTCTGGTTAGCATTTAGGTTCTGGTGCATCAAATCATCTAGTTCATGGTCACTAAATGGAAATAGAATGAGCTTGAATCTGTAGACCACATTAACTGAAAAAGAATAGAATTTTTGTTTGTTTTATCACTATGATGGAAAATACATTTAATAATTTCATTTTCAATAAAATATGCACAGACTATAAGCTTTACTTCAAATATTCTTACAAGGTTTTGAAGTACCTTCCCACTTCCACCACAAAACTCTAATTTTTCAGAGGGTGGATGGACTGGTGTTTGCATTTAAATGCACAAAATACAATCCACAGATCACGCAAGTATCTCGACTTTTCTTTCTCAAATGAAAGAAAAACTGGTTATTGTCAACTATAGGTCGGGGAAGAAAGAACCGTAGATTTAAAAAACACATTAGATTATGATCTTTACAATGATTAGCTCAACATGCAGAATTAACATAGTTCAGTACATATGACTTGGATATTACCTTAATCAGTTTGTTTTGTTTTACTCTTAATGTTTAGATTACTATATGAATTATTTTGATCAAAATTACTTTTTTGACAGGTTCATGTTTTCACTTATTTCATGACCTTATGTTTCTAGAGGACAAAATCACTCACTCTGAATAACAGTACATAACATTAACAGTAATGTTATCATACTTTCTGCATTATCCCCCTTCATACACTCCAATACTGTAACTAATACAGAGGTACAATTTCCTCTAGGAACTCGTGTATTTTGTTATTAATAGTGATTCACAGTAGGCATTCTTTTACATTTAGCATTTGTACCATGTTTTCTGTTTCCCAAAAAAAGAAAGAGAAGAGTCATTTGTATTTTAGTGTACATACTTCTCATTTCTTTCCTATCTTTGATTGAGGAGTGTTTCTCTTTGAATACAGGTAAATCAATATTTAATGCTTGACTTAACCAGCATGAATGAAAAAAATAGTGTTTAAGTGACATAAGTGTCTCCATCTATTGATATAAATAGAAACTATATAAATTTTCATTACATTTATAAATTAACACAAACACTCTTTATTTTGCTGATATTTTAGTTAGTAGTGCTACAGAATCCTCAGAACTGTTCTGCAGATATATCATCAATATAAATCCAAGTGGAGAAACAAAGGTGGGAAACTCCATATCTCATCTCTGTTAAACTTCTTCAACACAAAAAACCATGAAAGTGAGTGTACATTGTGACTTTGTGAAATCTATTACTGTCAGTTTTATTACATGCAAGACTTTTAAAGTACGTTAAGTAAATTTATGTTCAACATTTTTGTATACAAAATTTATATATACTGACAAATGCATTTTCTCCAAACTTTGCATTGTTTGATAATCTTAAAATTTTGTTTCACTGCATTTGCTTGTAAAATTTTCTAACAGTGTATTTATTTGCAGCTTTATTTAAGAAATGGATGCAACTAATATCACATATTGTATTTGGCCTAAAACTGTCAAGTGAAATAATGCCTTAAGTTGTTTGTTAAAGGACAAAGAAGTATTTATTATGCAGCTTTCTTAAGCATTTATAACTACCTTAAGATTATAAAATTTAAAATCAGTTTGTGGTACATTTTAAGAAAAATTGTTAAACGTTTGTAGATGGGAAACTATGGTTAAGTATTGAATTTATTATATATACAGTCATAAGTAATTAAAAAATTATGCAGAAAATAAAATTTTGTGGGTTCGTTGTCCTATCAGTGAGAACAGCACAAGTGGAAGTTCTAATTATATACTGGAATGTTTTCTCAAACAATATGGATGTCAATGTTAACTTTATATTAATTGTGAATCATGGTGGCTGTCTGGGCATTCATCTGTCTTCCATTTGATGCTTTGCCCAGGTAGGTAAAGCTCAACATTTACTTCTGAAATTATGGGAGAACAGGCAAGAATAATTTTGATGCCAAATTTTATTTCCCAAGCAGGATATTCTACAATAAATTGTTAGGAATTAATCACACTATTATTCACATTAAAGAATAGAAATTTAGATTTACCAGATGTTATTGGTGAGCAGCTTTTGCATGACTGAAATGCTCAACAATTACTTTTCACAGGGGTGGTATAAGTAGCTCAGAGCTTTGGCTCTGAATGAAACCAAGAGTGCAACACAATTAACTTTTTTAAAGTCAATGATATAATTTAAATTGATAGAATAACTTAAACTTTTCCCATCACTGGGGATGGGTACTTTGCTAGATTAACTTAAACTTTTCCCGTCACTAGGATTGAGTACTTTTGCTAGATTAACTCAAACTTTTCCCGTCACTGGGAGTGGGTACTTTTGCTTGTGAACAATATAGTAAAACCTGGTTAATTCCACATTTCTCACCTACCATATGTATACTTATGAAGAAAAACAACCTTATGTTTAGAATATTTGAAAGGTGTTTAAACATTGTGTATGTAAGTATAACCTCCAACACAGAAATGTAACAGATGTTGGTATCTGACTTGGTGTTACATATTTCTTTGCATTACTCCCAGTAAAATTAGGGGAAAAAAAAAGTTGGATGGTAATAGTTCAGTTTCAAAGACATTAGAGACAAACATTTACCTTTCATTCAAAGCCTAAATATTGATTCAGCTAATAATAAGGACAGACTCTGTTGGACTGAAACCCAGCACCAGCCCTAAGTTTGTTTCGTGACACAACTGATCTGAAATATAGGGTCTGGCTCAAAATCGAGTCTACAGTCCATGTCCAGAAAATTGTGTTGTGATTGTGATGATATCCATCTCTGCAGAGGTTGACATCAAACATGAATGGATCCAGGCTTTTCCTATAAGAACTGGGACTGAAAATCCGCACACGGATCTTTGCATTAAAAATTGCAGCATAAAAAGGTTACCTATGAGTAAAAGCAAAGAAAAATATGTCAACCACACTTTTATCTGCCATATCTAGTTCCAACAAAGACTTTTGCTCAATACCAGGGCTTATAAATAATATGGTGGTAACATAAATAAATAATATAGTAAATTTCACTTCACCAATTAAACTAGTTTGCACCATAACAGTTGTTCAAGCAGTTGCTAATATAAACAGATGTTTATCCAAAACAAAACTTTTTGTATACCACAGTAGATGTGAATTGGCTCACTCTTTTTTAACTATTACTCAGAATTTCTTACCCATTAATATACAATTTGTACAATAAGATGCCAGACCATAGAGATTTATGGCCATTTAAGCTTCTTTGGTCACATTACAAACACCTTGGAACCTAAGGCCAAGAAATTTGTGTCTGGGAAACAGAGAGAACATAAAGTTTCTCATACTAGTGACAGTGTATTTTAACCTCGAGTGTGTTGTGACACATTGTGTACAGTATAGTTGTGGTGTTTGAAAAGTACCATGCAATACTCCTCATAGAATGTACAACTAAACCTTTATCTTCATAAGATTTAAGCAATCATTTCATCTGAATGAAGTTCAAAAATCTTGAAATAAATTCTTGGAGGAGTTTCTTTTCTAGAGTTTAAACTTTCTGGTTAGGAAGAACATATGCTTTTGTACATGTGGTGAAACTGTCCATTATATCCATGATGTATCTATTCCTGCTGTTACTCTGTGGCAGAGGATCAAGCATACTGACAACAACTCTCTCAGGTGGTGGTACAACACATTACTGCTGTAGCTGTTTATTTTTTGTGGACCTTTATGTTCACATGGTTTCCAATTTTCTAGTGACCCCAACCAACAATTCCAATAGAAGCACTCTCTACATTGTCTTCTTAACACCTAATTTCCAGCTGTTTAAAGATTATGGAGATGGAGTGCTGCAGAATGTAGACTGTGGAAGTACCACAATCATTTTTCTGTTCACTGGTATTTTCCCATCTCCAATATAAAGCACTTATGAATCTTCTAGCTATATGAAGTGAATGTCTGAACTACTCTCAATGCACTGAATAATTTATTCCAAACTCAAATTTTTTGCCTGAGTATCTTTCAATTGATTGTTGGACCATATTAGTTCATTGTCACTGTACTTAAGGTTGATCTTCAATTTCTTGTGCCTCCCTCTTTTGATACTGTTTGCATTCTTCATTAAGATATGGTCTTTTGAATAATGTGTTAGCATTTACATGGTGATGAATGATGTTAAAGTTGTACTACTGAAATTTTTGGAGTCATCTTTCTCTTTGGCCTTCTGAATTGCAAAAATTCACCAGCCATTTAAATGTTGCATGATCTGTCTGGAGTGTAAGTAATGATGGAAATGATTTAGAGGTCAAACACTTAACCCCTGCATTAGTCCTGAAACTGTACCAAGAGTGAGCACCAAGAATCTCCCAATTTGACTCCAGCTAGCGTGGCAGTGAGACGTGTTTTCTTTTCTTGTTGAGGTGTTCATAAACCCCAGGATACTAACTGAAGGTATGTTTTGTCGATCAACCACTGCTTTCTTTTGTATCCTATACAATATTATAAGAGTGTTTAAAAGTTATGCATGCAAAATATAAAACAATATTTGCTGTAGCAAAGATCTATTAGTCAATTGGGCATGCAGATAACATCTTTTATTTTCAGATTGGGGATGGCTGACTATGACAGGGAATGTGAGAGGATTAGACAGATGTTGGATGAGTGTGACATTTCCATTGTTCCTGAGGATGAATCAGATCATATTGAAGTCAATGAGCATATCTCAGAAACAGACTGCAGTAAGTAAGCGGGCCAGATGTGAAGGATGGCTAGGTGAGGATAAGGTGACTTGGTGGAAGAAATAAATAAATTTGAGAGTGCACAACTGTTCTCATAATATATCCACTGGGCAATAAGGGCTGAAAGGTCCAGCTCTAAATGTACAAGCCCCTGTTGAATTTTGGTCACTCTTTATCACACCAGAAGTAATAGATTTGTTAGTGCTAAACACAAACATGCTCATCAGTGAACAAAGAACGAAATATGCTCAAAAGAACAAGGGTTAGAGACATAGATGGTGTGGAAATGGAAGCTTTTCTTGGGATAGTGCTTTTGGCAGGTAATTATCACCGCAACAAGATCATTCTTGATGATCTATGGAACACAGATGGCATGGGTGCGGATGTTTTCAGAGCAACAATGTCATTGCATTGTTTTCGATTTCTCTTAGTTTGCATCCGATATGATGACAAAGCAACACGTTCCGAACATAAATTAGTTGATAAACTGGCCCCTTTCAAAGATCTGTTTGTTGATAATTGTGTGAAGAACTATTCTCCCTCAGAGTTTGTTAATATTATAGAGTTCAGGGGCAAATGTACGTTCAGACAATACATACCAAATAAACCTACTAAATATGGCATAAAGATACAAGCAATGACTCATACTAAAACATTTTATGTGTGCAAAATGGAGGTCTATACATGTAGGCAGCCAGATGGCCCATTCAAGGTAGACAATTCTCATCTTCCTTTGGTCCTCAGGCTGATTTCTGATATCTCAGGATCAGATAGAAATGTCACATTTGACAACTGGTATACCAGCTATAGACTAATTCATAAGTTGATTGCTGTGGGAACACTCAGAAAGAACAAAAAGGAAATTCCTGGAGCATTTTTGCAGGTCAAAGACCTACCTCCTCATGACAGTATGTTTGGTTTCGAAGAAAATGTAATACTGGTTTCATACATTCCTTCCAACCAGAAAGGTAAGAAAAAATGTTATTCTCTTCAGTAGCATGCACCATGATTCAAAAATTGACCCAGATTCTAGTGATCAAAAGAAACCAGACATTATAACACTTTACAACACAACGAAAGGAGGCATTAAGATAATAGACCAGATGTCAACAGAGTATGACACAAATCACGAAATAGCCATCATTGGCCTCTGACAGTTTTCTTTGCACTTCTAAACATTCCAAACATAAATTCTTATATCCTTTGCTTTCACAGCCCTCAGAACAAGCTAAAACGCCATTTGTTCATATATGAAGTTCATAGAAGATTATCTTAAGAGGAGATTGCAGAACAAGAACCTGAAGAAAGATCTTAAAGAAGCAACTAAAAGAATCTTACTAGAAGCAGCAGAACTTTCAACACCATCCCAACCCCAAACATCATGGAGAGTGAAGTGATGTAAGTTCTGTAAAAGGGCACAGGATCACAATGTAAAAACATTTTGCACTACTTGCAGTGAGCACGTGTGTAGTGACTACAGCAAGGTGTTTCTACAGTGCTTGCAGTGCCAAAATACTGATTTGGGTGAAGATTCAGTGTAATAAATATGCTTTTCTTTATTTTTTTCTGATGTTTTGGTAAAAATAAACATCCTCTCATTTATAATCGTGTAATCCTTATGTCAATAAATGAATATCAAAAACGAGTTTTGGAGATCTTTTAATAACCCTTTATTGACACTACCAATGTTTAATATTAAGCTAAATATCTTATGCAATCATTTGCTAGATACTTGAAATACATGTTCACATAGATATATGAACAATTAATAAAAAAAACTATATTTCATTTGGGGTGCCTAGCAACCCCATGGTACTAATGATTTTCAAACTGGGCACAGTACTAATGCAGGGTTAAGTAATAAGTAGTACAATATCTCCTTTCTGTAGCATTCACTGCCTTAATATAGTAGGTCACATGTTCTTTTCCATGTTGTAATTGTGATAAAATGCTTCTACTTCAAAATTCACTGGCATCAGTATCTTAAAGAAGTGAAACTTTAAGAGATGCTAATTCTACCTTCACGTTGTTGAATGTCAGTTGCTCAACAAACCTTATATGACTTTTCAAGTAAGTTGTGGGAGGATGAATTTTGTCAGAGAATGACATAACAATAATAGTAAGAGAATTGTCCAAGAAATCCTCTTAGCTCAAACAAATTCTTTAGTGTTGTTCAATTCTGAACAGTTTAATCTTAGATGGGGCTGTAGATGCCCTTTCTCTCTCCCTTTACTATGTGTTCAAATCCTTCTTGGTGGTACTTATGACTGGTTAGTAGGTTCACTTTCTTCACAATGCTACTTTTAGACAGAGGTAGTGACAACAGGGACTGCAGTTAATTGCTACGCTATCCAGTATATAAGGTACCAATGTCACTTTCTCACAGTATCTAGAGATGGTCCCCATTCAAAGTTCTTGGAGTAAATTGGTACCATATTAAACACATCATATTGTAACTTTATTCAAATAAGATCCTGAAGGCAACCTCTGGCTTCAACAGGTTCTCTCTCCATTCTAAGAGACTCTTGGTAGTGCATAAACTTTTCACCTACCTTAAGTGTTGCTCCGGCTAGTGGTTTATGCTCTCTAGATGCATCACCATTCTTTGTGCTATCAAAAATTCCAACAGTAATGAGGTTAAGGGGCACTAGATGTCATGTAGGCAACTTTGTCACAGGCTTCTTGTAATTCAGAAATATCAGGTGAGTTACTAGAGAACTCTTAGGATGCAGTTTGGAGATCAGATCATCATTATCATCCCCAGTAAAGTTTGTTGAAGTATTCAATGTTCAAGAAAGGACTTTTTCAAACCCAATGTCAGTCTTTCAACTATGACTTCACTCTCATTGCAATCTACACCTCTAGAAAATAAATTAATCTTCTTGAAAATGATCTTACCAATCAAAAAAATTCTATACATAAAGTTCAAGAGTACCAAGAAGATCCAGCAAATGATATTCATTTTAAGCTCTTCAGTAACCAACCCTGACCAAGGCACGCAAATTTTACTTAATAACCTATACTGGGGTATTACGAAATATAATTCTTCCACAGGTAAATTACTACTACATTTATGTAAGGTTTAGTCAGATACGTGTAATTAATTTGTCTATAGAGTAAAAACACTAGAAGACTTCAATGAAATAAGTTATGTAGCTGGCTTATGATAGCTTGGACAACAAAATGTGTATAACTCTTTTTTTCAGTCCAGCTGTCAGTTTTGGCTACACAAATGCAAGCATGAAGTGGCTTCTCAGCTAAATTTGTCTAAGGTGAAATTGAAAATATCCAAACTCTACTAGACTAGCTAGAATTTGCCTAACACAATATGACAACAAGCCATCACAGTCGGTTTAATACCGTCAAGGTAAATTCGGTGACGAGGAACCCACTTTGAGACTAATAATGGCTGGAGACGGCTCG